ATATATATTTATTTATTTATTTATTTATTTTATTTTTTTCTCAACATTTACAGTGTGGTACAATTTAAAATAACTTTTCTATGTTAAATGTACTTTATTCCTGTGATGCAAAGCTGAATTGTCAGCATCATTATACTCCAGTCTTCAGTGCGTCATATGATCCTTCAGAAATAATTTATATGATGATTTGCTCAAGAAACATTTCTTATTATAATCAATGTTGATATTATCAATGCCACTACAATGTTGGAAAGCACATTAGAATAATTTCTGAAGGATCACGTGATGCTGAAGACTGGAGTAATAATGCTGAAAATTCAGCTTTGCATTCCATTACAGGAATAAATTACAATAATTACATTTACATTTAGTCATTTAGCAGATGCTTTTATCCAAAGCGACTTAAAAATGAGGACAATAAAAGCAGTCAAAACTAACAAAAGAGCAACAATATATAAGTGCAAATGACAAGTCTCGGTTAGCCTAACGCAATTAATTATAATTAGAAAATATATTCAAATGTAAAACAATTAATTAAAAAAAAAAAAAAAGCAATGTTACTGTTGCAAATAGATATCCATATAAATATAATATTACGATACTATGTATATATTTCAAAATGTATTTGCATGTATATATGTATATATGTATATTCGTATAATTTATATTATATATAAATATGTTTATAATATAAACATAACATATTTTTCTTAAATATATACATGTGTAATAAATGTTTCTTGAACAGCAAATCAGCATATTAGAATGATTTCTGAAGGATCATGTGACACTTTCTGCGAGCCTTGTATGCAAGCATTAAGATTTTAAAATCTATGCGGTATTTAACAGGGAGCCAGTGTAACGTCTTCAAAACAGGAGTTATATGGTCGCCAGCCCTAACCCCAGTTACAATTCTAGCTGCTGAATATTACTGCTTTTGCTGTATTTCAGATCAAATAAAGATCAAATTCTGCTTGGTGAGCGGAAGAGACTTCTTTAAAAAGAACATTAAAAATCTTACTGTTCAAAAACATTTGACTGATAGTGTAGATTTTTTTTCTTGGTTTTTTTTTCCTGTGTTCTCCACAACTTTAGATTTTATTATTGTTGTTGAATCTATACATTCAAATAGTTTCATTTATTTCCATTTGTTCATTCAAATACCAGACGTATTGGCCTTGTTTGCATTGTATTTTAGTGTGATTTTTTTTTTTTTTATTGATTAAAAAATTAATTAATTTTGATTTTTTTTTTTATTGATATTACATTTTATTGACTTGCATTGATATTTTATCTTGCTCAGATTTGTAAACACTAAATGTTAATAACTGTTACTATTAAGCATACATAATTGTACATAATAATTTAATGTAAAACATATTTTTCTTGTTTTTTTTCTCTGTGTTCTCCACATCTTTACATGTTATTATATTAGTTGTTGTAGTTTAATCTATAATTATTTTATGTATATTTATTTAATTATTATATATTTTGGTTAGTACTATACTGTAGTAATTACCTTTTTCATTTTTATATAATAAGTATATTATTTTACTATATATAAAATGAAAAACTTACTTTTTGGTGAGTTTTAGTTATATTTCATATATATGGGTTTTCTGTACATAGTTATACAAATATAAAGTGAATGTCTCTTTAAAAATAAAGGTCTAAAACATGATCAAAATGTTCTTTTTAATTATTCACATTGACATTTTCTATATTAAAGATAACTATACCCTATTATAATGTAAATGTTTATTAAGATCATTGCATATTTTGTACATCCTACACAAGAACAATTATTACAAGATTTATTTTATCTTTGTGCACAAAGTTCGTTTATTATATGTTAATTGTACTTAAAGTGTATCTAGATGAAAAACGAATAAAAATTCATTTTATGTTATTTTTGGCCGAGGCGGGATTCGAACCTCTAATTGTGTGTATTTTACTCGTCCCGCCTCCCTGGAATTTCCTTCGTTCCTATTGGCTAGTCAGCGCTCTACACCTATGTGCGGCTGGTTTTGAGCTGTGAGGCGAACGTGATAACCACTACACTACGGAAACGTGCGTCGTCAAAAATGAGGGCGGGGTTTATAATACGTACACATATGAGGTATGTACTTAAAAGAAATGGAAATTAGCCCAATTCATGTGTAATTTAACTTATGGCACGTGTTTGTTATTTAAAAAAAAAAAAAAACAACAACTCTCATCTTAAACTCAAAGAAAACAATTTCCCTTTGCCTGTTTGTTTCACAGAATGAGGAACACATGCAGTTTGTTCTCTCCATTCATGTTGCAAAACACTTATACTTTCTATTGTTTTTACTGCTCAAGACAGGTTTCTTTCTTGTGAGACATTTTGAAGGTATCTATGGCTTATGGCCTATGCCACTAAAAAATAATTGTTTTAGATTAAGATGCCGAAACCCGGGATCGAACCAGGGACCTTTAGATCTTCAGTCTAACGCTCTCCCAACTGAGCTATTTCGTCGAATAAAATTAATTTTTTGCGTAGTGTTGCTGTATCTGTGTCTTTTATTTGTAATATGAACATGCAGCTGTAAGATAATACCCCTAGTTAACGTCATGTATTCAGTTACTTTAGATCTTCAGTCTAACGCTCTCCCAACTGAGCTATTTCGGCGAATAAAATTAATTTTTTGCGTAGTTTTGCTGTATCTGTGTCTTTTATTTGTAATATGAACATGCAGCTGTAAGATAATACCCCTAGTTAACGTCATGTATTCAGTTAAGCAGACATAGTTAGGTGATGATTACAACTTGTGTTCATAATGATGGCTCTGCCAACCATTTTAATGAAATGAAAACATACCCAATTTTAAGGCATAGTCTACCAGAAAAGAAAGGTTTGTAGTTCACACGTTCATGTCGTTTACACAGTCTACAGTCGCTGTGTCTCATTTCGAAGACGACTGCGCCCTCCTGTGGTCGTATTTTGTCGGCCGGCTGCATATATATATAATCGAGGAGGTCTAATTTCAGAAACGTAACTATTATAAAATTGGTTGTTATTTCTCGTGAGGAATAAAATATTGTAATACGTTTTTTATTGTTTTATTTTTAACAGTGTAATTGTTACTTTTCTGAAATGAGGCAGCCTCAATGACCTCAATGAGGCCATCAAACGCGACCACAAGAGGGCGCAACAGTCTACGAAATCCGGCTGCATATATATAATCGAGGAGGTCTAATTTCAGAAACGTAACTATTATAAAATTGGTTGTTATTTCTCCTGAGGAATAAAATATTGTAATACGTTTTTTATAGTTTTATTTTTAACAGTGTAATTGTTACTTTTCTGAAATGAGGCAGCCTCAATGACCTCAATGAGGCCATCAAACGCGACCACAAGAGGGCGCAACAGTCTACGAAATGAGACAGCTTGTACCGTCATACTACATATGGTCACGTGGGCCCCCAGTATTTTCACAAGGGCCAGTGGCGCAATGGATAACGCGTCTGACTACGGATCAGAAGATTCTAGGTTCGACTCCTGGCTGGCTCGTATGTTTTCTGCATTCGATTAAACAGTAATAGCGTTTGTAGGTGTAACTTCGGAACCATAGAACTTTATTTTATCCCATATACTACATCATATTGCTTTCCTTTAATACTTTATTGTGGCAACAAAGCAGAGCTTACAAATGTGGGCATTAATCAGCAATCAATCCAGTCCATATAGCAAAGGCTAACAAAGCAAGTATTTTTCTGTTAGTAGCATATTTCATAAGAGAACAGCTTGGCATGCTGGGGTTCTTCCAACTGCTGGCGAGGTACTGTGTACGGCAACTGGTCCTCTTGCCTCCAACAACTACTCTGCACTCTGTGCTCATTCATACAGGAAAACAGTAAGAATATGATGTTAAAATTAAAATGTATTCACTTTCATTAGTAAAAATTAATATACATAAGCTCTGAGTATAACATTACAACCTTATTCACGCACTCAGGAACATTTTTGCATGGTCTTCTCTCTATTTGTTCTTCCAGATCCTCACATTTAACATTTGGCGTCCCTGCAAACATAGTGCGGTCTTGGGAACTATGGGAGATAAAGAAAGCCAAAGAATATTTAAAATGATTGTGAAACAATGCACAACCTACAATGCAATGGAATTGCACAACTATATGATTTATTATAGACAAAGTTTTATTTCAATTAGTAGCATGAAATGTTTTTCTCCTACCTGTATGAAGAGATGTCAGCAACACACTTTATTTCTCTTATTTGTTCAGAGTCTGTCCCACAATCAGGTTTGCAATAACTCCACTCACTCCACTCTGACAAGACGCCTTTCACTGAACACAGACAGAGAGTTATTTGTTACTTTACACCTACAAAACCTTACACCTACGATGGTTTGAAAAATCCTAATTTCGTCTGAAACTAGGAACAACCATCATCTAACATCATCATTCACAATATGTAGAGATTATACAATTTGTTTGAAGTGCACTAATTTTAAGCACTCAATTTACAAAATGTGACACATTTTGATGCTAAACAATCAAAATGACCATGCTTTGCATTTATGTAGCTTATGCTGTGTTTGAATATGCCTACAATACTATACAATAATACAACAATGTGAAAAACAGTCCGACAAAAGAGTAGTATGTCCAAATTCATAGTATTCAAAAAACGGTAGGCAAAAAGTACCTAAATGACATACTACTTCTCTTGACATTCTAAAGTGGGCATCCAATGGACACTTCACTGTGCCATGAAGCCACAGAAGAGGATTTGTGAATGGCAGTGAAGGCTGGTAAGTCACATGACAGTGACAACATGGTGGATGTAGTATGTCTGAATTTCATTCATACTACCCATATTCATACTATATAGAGCATAATTTTTTTTAATGTTGTAAAGTAAGTTTTAAACCAAATGTATTGCCTAATAGATAGAATGCAGTTTCGGACAGCTATGATTTTTCTTTGCACTCACTGTCACATTTATCAATTTCATAGCAGTTGCCATGTTGAACAATCTCTCCATCACATAAGTCTCCATTGTGTTGACTATCAACACAGTCCCTCTCTCTCCTTCGTTTTCCCTCCCTGTTTCTGCATGTGATAATTCTAGTGGAAGGTGGTTTACAACGACTCCACTCGCCCCATTCGGTCCACATCCCATTTACTGACAGAAAAAGACAAAGAGAAAAATGTTAAATGTTAAACAATCGATTTTGTTTGTTTGTTTGTTTAGATAAATCTTGCATTCTGTCAATACTTACATGGACAGTTGACAAGAATGATGCAGATACCAGTTTGTTGCTCTTCACCTTGACACTGTTTTCCACCATGTGCTGGTTTAGGAGAATCACAAATCCGTCTTTGAGTCTGCTGACCCACTCCACACGTCACAGAGCAGGACGTGGAACTTGTCCAAGCGCCCCAGTTTCCATTAACTGTGGAGCAGAGATATAAAGCTCTGGTTTCTAAAATCCTCTTGTATGTTTGGCTGTTTTATAGAAGAAAACAAAGGCAGACCTGGGCAGAACGGTAGCCCGCTGCAAGGGCGGTTGTCTGTGTCGGAGCCCTTGCAGTCATTGCCACGTGGAACGGTAGATGGAGTAGGGTTGGTGCATGTCCTTTTACGAAGTTCTTTTTGAAGACTGTGTCCTTCATAAAGACAAGTAACTGGACATGGACCCCAACTTCCCCAACTAGACCAACCACCATGAGCTAGACGTCAAATGAGAGCATGTTCTTAATTTTCAGTATCTTCGGTAAGTAAAAAAAAAGAAGAAAACTATACTTACTCGGACAGATTATTTCAGTGGAGCAAGGGGTGGTATCTTCCTCTTCACCGCTACAGGAGCCCCCACATTGTGGAATGGGTTCAGAGCATGTTCTTTGCCTTTTTCTAATTCCATCGCCACATGTGACTGAACATATCTGCCATTTCCCCCACTCTGACCAGCCACCTTTCACTGAACAATATATATACAGAAACATGAGAAAGGACATAGAAACCTTTATGTTGAAATGTTACAATTAATTAATGTTCTTTTTACCTGGGCAGCATTGTTGTTTCACACATGGTTTAGTTTGAACCGTTCCCAGATTTTCAGGGTCTGTGCAAGTGCCAATTCCATGACACGATCGTCGCCTTTGACTGACTCCCTCTGTACAACTCACTGAGCACTCGCCCCAGGGAGTCCATTCAGACCATGCCGCCCGCCTGGAGGCCAACATTCAACATTCAAGATGTTTCTAAGTGATATGCTGTACGCATTTGATCTCATTGATTTCAGTTCAGCTAATTCAGTAGCCTCAAGAGTTAAATTATCTGAAATGTGAAATGGTGATTGGTGAAAGTTTTCACAAAAAAATGCATTACTATTTATAAAGGTTTCCACAAAAAAGACCATTAACATTGCATTATTTTAAAGTTGTGATTTAATGGAAGTAGCAACAGATAACCTCTGCCATATTGTGACGTACATCAGAATGTAACAGATTATAGAAAAAGAAAAAATGCAGGGTGGCGACTTGGTTCTATGCATCGGTTGATGATTGGATGTTGAGATGTGGGCATTATGGGCATGTCTGCATGTCATAAACTTTATGGAAAAAGTGTACTGTGTTACGAAATAGTAAATAGGAAGTAAATAGGAAATAGTTCTCCCATCTTAAAATTATCATCTGTTTAATAAACAATAATGTAGCTCAATGTGACATTTATCATAACAGGTTTTTGGACATGAACATTATAAGCATCACATCAACGAAGCTTACCCACAGAACCTACAAACGCCATCTGCTTCTTTGTAGCCATAGCTGGGGTTCAAGCAACAGGAGTTTTTTTCAACCTGACCCAAAAGATCACCACATTTCCCAGTGGACAGGGTAAATGATGAAAAACACTCCACCATCTCCGAAACTTCAGAAAGAAACCAAATTAATGAAAGAATAAAATACTTATTACACTTATTGCCTGATATGTGTCATGGCACAGATGACCAGGATGCATTCATATTAAATAAATTGCATTATTCAGTTGTTTCGGTAAAGATAACTTGAAAGTTGGTACAAAACGTTTTTGAGAAAAAGGTTGGTCAGCTAGCCATATTTTTGCTTAATATTCATTTAGATATGACTGAATAATTATATATTGTCATAAAACATTTCCTACCTGATTGCTGGACGTAAATCCCGAGGAGCACAATCCCCCACAAGATCAGATTCATGGCTGAATCAGTGACAGAAATGCTTGATTCTGAAAGTGGAAGTACTTGTAAATAAAATTACTGCAAGTAAAAAGACTGTAAAATTATGAATAATCAAAACAAAAAACTGAAACTGAAAACAAATGTGGGTGTGGGTTTTTGAGTAGCTTAATATAAATGAATTGATAATACAAATTATGGGTTCAGATTTTAAGTTCATACATTATGTATTCAATATTTTGACCCAATGTAAAATTTAGCCCCTTACCTTACAAAATTCCCTATATTATGGCAG